CAAAATTCCCCACACATAAGTAAAATTCACCACCACTTTGGTTCACCAAAGGTTGCTCTTGGCAACAATCAGGAAAAGTTGCTCTTACTTTATGCAGTGATGCTGATTTACCATAGGTACTAATAAGATGGTGTGGTCAGAATCTGTTTGTGTTCCCATAAGGAAAATATAAATGCATGTTGTAAATTAAGTAGCATGTGCTGAAGTGCTCTGGTATTTAGCTAAGAAAAGTGAAATGCATTTTAAAAAGAATTAGTACTTATGTGCACTTAAGTAATACTGAAGAATTAGGTTTTTTATATATGTATGGTAATCCTTTAAACACTTCAGTACTTGGTTGATTTATGCAAAATTCTCCATGAACAGTAGCTTTTCCTTATTTCTATAACACAGAAAAAAATGGGAGTTTGAATGAACTTGGTTCTTGTATGGACTGTTGAGACAAATTTGGAAGCAGCAAAAAATGTACTAGTTTCAATCTGATCTCATGCACTAATCCCTTTGACTGGAATTATTGCTAACTTAGTAACAATAAAGGTACCTAACTCAACTGGCTTTGTCAGGTTTATTCCAATTCACTTAAACCTAAAGGTCAATAATAATTGCAGCTAATAATGGAAAGTTTTTTGACCAAATTTTGTATTTGGGAAAGAAAATTTCTCCTTCTTTCAATAATCAGTTGAAGCAGTTATTGTTTTAAAACCGAATAAAATACTGTGTAAAACAGGCACATAATTATTTTAGTTTTAAAACTTTTTATTTCAGATAAAGCATGCTGCTATATACAGAAAAAATGTGAGTCAAAGCAAGAGCAATACAGAATGGGCAACATATTCCTTAAAACTTACAAGATGCTTTTAAAAGCTTCAGTGCAGCAACAGTATGATATATTCTTTTCATTCCTAAATCACCTTTACCAAAATGTCATTTCATTGCACATCCTGAGCAACCCCAGCTATCTCTCTCTTCTATAACGATAAATTAAAGTTTCCAACACAAAACTTACAGCAATGGTTTCAGTAAATGACTTCTGCCAGTATAATATATTTCAATATAACTTCATATTGCTAATATCTAATTTCAAACAGCATCCTTCAACTATGCAAACTGTGTTATACATTTAGCAAAGCCTCGCCAATGAGTTTTCTTTTTTAACTTTCTTTCTCTTACTTCATTATCTTTACATCAGTAAAACTGTGAAAAATCTCATTCTTTTTCCTCCTAAAGAAATACTGTCAATAACTTCCCTCTCATTTTCTTTTAGAATTAAAGTCAAGAGACTACAACAGTGATGCTTTGCTGTATACTGAAGTTGGAGATAATAAAGGAAAAAAGAGCTAAACTACTTTACCATGAAGAACATGACCTGGGTTGTATCATGATTTCAATTTGGTGACAGTGAATGGCTAACAGCAGAAAGCTACAGCCTAGCAGAATGTCTTTGCACGAGTGGCACGCTAGGCTCTAACACAGTTAATGTGTTACAGTGACTCTCTCGCTCCCCTCTGACTGGGGCTTTAGCTTTTAACATTAAGGAGCTGCGCGGACAGGCCGTGATGCCAGTTGCGCAATTTGGCAAAGCGTGGGCTGTTACGTTCCGTTTCAAACCTCTCCCTGTGGCATGAGGAAAGAGAGAGACAGAGACAGAGAGAGACACACGTACACAGAAGAAAGAAAGGAGGGAGAAAGAAAGGGATTAGGGACCATGGCTACCACTCCCTTTCCTTACAGCTAGGGCAATGGCAATTTATTTGGATTTTTTCCTCAGCTCTCAAATCAGCATACTGAAGGCTGGGTGATGCTTTTTGGACCATGTGTCAAAGGTTTTACAGTGGTTTATTTCTGAGAAGTAACTTGATATAACTTCTTATTCTTTGACTTGTGCTTGGTATTACAGGGCTGCTTTTGCTAGAAATGCAGTGTAATCCCATTGTTTTCCTTCCAGCAGTTTCTCTTGGCTTTTTCCTCCCTCTAACACAACTGAGGAGCCAGTGAAAGTTAACTCATACAAGTGCAAAATGAATGCAAATATCTTCCATTCTGTAACACCTAGGTCAACCCATATATAACCTGCAGTCCTGCCTTCAAGGACCACCACCCCAGGTTTCAGCAGTACTTTTCTATAACTTCCTCAAAATTAGTGAGTATTAGTGTTGACATTTGCAAAGATATTTCTGGTCATTTGTGTCACAAAGCAGAAAAACAGGGGATTGTCAAAGCAGAGTCCTGTGGAGTATTGGCCACCTCCTGCCACCCCTGACTGCAGACTGGGGTGCTCGTGCCATGTTCAGCACCTCTCAGGATTTAATTTTTTTAGATGCTCTATAGTTTAAATTCAGTTTTTGCATATAATAAGGTGAAAAAGGAAGATGTGAGATGATAGCACAGTCAAGGAGAAGTATATCACACAGAATGAAAATGTTCTTATTTGCAAAACTTTTTGCAGTCATTGCAAACAAGGTCATTTTTTCCTCATTATTTACACTCGAAACACAAGACAATTAATTGTGTTAATGCAGGGGAACTTGGGAGTGAAACCAGACGAACAGAAAGGAGTAGACTGGGCTGGTTTTACTCCTCAGGCCGAGGAAAGCACAAAACAATAAACAGAGTAAATGCCAACAAATTCACTGATATTTCTAAACCTTTTGTGCTTAATAACACAGTGTCGTACAAGTAATAGTCCTAAAGGAGTCTTCATGTATGACTTCTCAAACTATTTTTATGCTTTTAGGTAATTAAGAGATATAAAGTATTCCTAGCTGAGACTTCCTGATGGTATTTTTTTCCAGCTACACCAGAATATATTAGCTCCAATGGTTCTGACATGTAATTTAAGAACTCTCTTACTGCTTTCAAGATATTACCCCTCCATTAATGAAAAAAGTATTCAGAAACATCTGTTTGGCTTGAAATGGGTCCCATCTCTCCAGAAAATCTTCCACAATCATCACACCAGCAGTGAAAACTTTTCATAGCAAGTTACACTTTTATGTGTGCCTTCAAAACAGCAGTGGCATGAGCAAAGAACAGTCATGCAACACACTCATTAATATTAATTGAAAGCAACATTCTGCCACCAAAAATTCCCAAGTTTTTTTTTAAAAAACATATATCATGAAGTTGGAAGCAGCAATCTAAAAGTGACTATTTTTATGTAAAACAGTTCTGCCAAAAATAAGCTACATCTTTCTTCCCCCCACTCCGAAGTGTTTGGAAGAAGCCTGATCGCCATTCCATGCAGCTCCTGCTGGCTACACTGAGGAGCTGACACACAGAGACAAGAGAAAGCACCCGAGAGAGATTGCCCCCAGCCTGCCTGAGGCCAAAGTGATGGATGGCTGCACAGCCAGGGTGCTGCTGCCAAATCCCCAGTGCAGTGTGTCCAACGTTTGAGGTGGATATCAAGCACCCAGATGGGGCCAGCACTGTCAGTGGGGTAGGAAGGAGACCCCATTTCATTCCTTGCACCAGAGCTTACACCAGTTGCACTGTCCCTGTGTAACTACCTATATATGTTCCCTTATGCTTCTACTATCAATGCACACCTTGAGCCTGTCCAGCTGTGCCTAAACATAACCAGAAGCACCCTTGGTCAAGAAAAGGATAACACAGTGATACCTAAAGACTGCAGAAAATGTGCAAAGCACAGTGGATCTAGTCATGCACTTGGAGTTACACTGCATAGAATGTGAAATTTACATGTGTTGATGTGTTATCAGATAATTATTGTCATCATATACCATGTAAAATTTCCACTATTTTGTATTTTCCAAAGCCACAGATTTCACCTAGAAAGATTATTTCTTTAAAACCACATATTACTCCCAGATATGAAGGGGGCACTGTGAAGCTCAGCACAATGCTTTAAATCCCATCATAATAAGGATTTGGATGTGTGCTATTACATCAAAACAGATAATGCACAATACACGTAATGAGAATTAGGCTTGCACATTTGAGAGAAGAAATAAATCCCTGAGGGCTAAAATGTCAAACCTGATGTTTGGGCACCCAGTCATGAACTTGGGTGAACTGCAGTGGAGGTTTTATAGCAAACACCAGCTGAAAGCATTCTTGTATTCTCACAGGGAAGACAGCAGGTATCTTTCTCACTGATTCAACATTTGTAATCTGCACTGTGATCAAAAGCTCAGAATCACAGGGCAGTAAAATAGAAAATAGAAAAAGAAGAAGTGGATTGATTACCAAACACATCACAAACCCAGCCAGTGGCTTAGAGCAGCTAAAGTGAAACAGGGATTTGAAGTATGCAAACAGAAAATAAGGATTGCATGCAGAATGTGCCCGATTCAACTGCAGTTTTTAAGCTCGACATAAGAATTTTTAATACATCTATTTCCTGGCTATGCAGGATGATGATAAATCTTTAATTCCATATTATATCTCTGAAAATATTAACTTTTTCAATGTTTTTGATACATCATATGAAACAAGTATATTTATCCATTAGCAAAAGCAGTCCTGTGCTTCCATATTCTACAAATTTAGGTCATATTTATTCCAAACAAAACATAAACTAGTGATTACGGGTATGAATGGAAACAACTCCTTTACTGTATCTTTTAAGGAGAATCAAATGTCAATTACAGGGTCATCCAAATAAATTGCTCACAAATTTCAGTGCTATCACAACATTATATATTTTTATCCACTTACACATTCAAGTAGTTACACAGGGCTTGGAACTCATCACATTCATACATCCAGTAAAGTACAGGAAAGTTGCATGAGCAGAGAGTTTTCAGATTTGCACACACACTTAAACAATTTTGCACTGTTTTTCCTAAAACATGCTGATTTGTTATTCCTCTCATTCAAATGCCTGTCAATGACAGAATTTTAATGATTTTAAAGTAAATGTGTTAGAATATTTTAGGACAAAAATATAGTAAAGGAACTTCATATTAATGCCATTTTAAAACATTATTGGGTTATCAGGAAGGAGAAAGCTGTATTTTTTACAAGGAGTTGCCTACCTTGACCTCCTCAGGGCTTCTTCATCTGGATCTTGCACTGTAGAAAAAAATATTTCAATTAAAAAGCAGAAAGAAAGGAATTAGCTTTATGCTATTTTAAATTCTTTAGAAACTTATCAAAAGCCTATCTAAAGGTGCATTCACACTGACTTTGCACCAGTGGAATTTGTAAGAACATCATGAAGAGGAGTGGTTCCCTAGGGACAGGAAGGAGGATGTTAGGAGGAAGGTAGCTATTAAAACTACTTTCCCAATCATTATTGGCAGTGTTTCACAGCTGTAGGCAATGATTCTACAGAGAGGTCCTGCTGTTTTGTACAAAGCAGGAGAGACTGCAGCAGCACATTAATGGGGGAAGGAAATACTAAATATTTCCCCCTGGTAGGGGAAAAGACCCTGAGCTTCCTTCTCTCTACATCAGAAACCACCTGTCAGCCACCAGGTAACCATAAAAACATTTCCATAGGCAACAAGCAACAAAGTTAAAGCTCTGTGATGTTTATATCAGATTCAGGTTTAGAAAACAGGGCTGATAGAGCCATAGATTCCATACAAATGGTGATTTTTTTTTTTTTTTGACACCCACAAGTTACTTTTATAAAGGACTGTTACAGGAGACATGACTTGTTTATCATTTTTGTCTAAAGAATGGACAGCTCTGTATGTCTAGGCTGCAGGAAACCCAAAGATTGCACTGCAGAGACTTGATTTATAAGTAGGAATAACTATGGGGTCCCAAATGCTCATTTACTGTACAATCTGTTATACTTTTATGGTAAGACTCCTGGCAGATCAAATAATTTTCTTCATAAAGCATAAGATGAGATCGTTCACTTTGATTTCTGAGTTCTCTCAAGTTACATCCAGGATCTTCATCACCACAACTACATGAGCCTGGACATGAGTCTTCCCTGAGTATCAGTGGCCAATCCCAGGGCAGTGAGGAAAGATACAAATGATACAAAAATGAGGACGAGGGGGATTTTTTATCATTCAACTTACTGTACTCAGTTCCAGTCATCTGGGCAAGGATGCGGAAGGACTTGGACTGCAGGTTGGCAGAGCGACGGCTCCAGTCCTCGCTCTCATCCTCAGGCTTGTTCTGAGTTTTAAGCACAGCCTGATACACCGGAGAGGCACTGTCTACATGAGGATCCTTTAGAGGGAGGGTACTGCAATTCAGAAAAGGAAATGTTGGAAGCAGCTCTCTGGTCTCAGTTTCTCACCCAGCCATCCCCAACATGGCTTTGAAATGACCACTTCTTAATAAGATACCTAGATCAATTTTATATTATGGCTTGTTCTGTCTCTGAAAGAGCCTTTTATCATTCAAATCTGCTTGGAGATACCTGTTCATGATTCCTTGGCCAGTGCAAGAACACAAGCCTACAGTGGTTAGAATAGCATGTGGTGATAAAGGAGAGTAGGCCAGGCAAAAAAATTTATTTCTCTGACCATTTTTGCTCCATGTTATTTCTTATGACTCCAGGTTGGTACTGTTTTATGTTTTCTTTAAATTCCAGTGTTGGGCTAGTGTATCTTGCAATTAGAAATAAACCCATATTTCATTATAAAAATAATGTGGTAGACTTTTATAGCTTTTTCTAGAGATGATTATTTTTCAAACTGAATTAAACTTCCATCTGCCATAGTCTGGATTCATTGTCTACTAAACACGTGAAGTACAAGAAGTCTAGACTTGCACTCAAGACTTGCATATATAAGTAGTGTCTGAAATCTTTAATGACAGAAGGTATCTCAGGGTCTTACAACATGCTTAATCACCTTGCAAAAGTGATATATCCAGTTGTGCACACCTAAAATCAAAGCTACACAGGTCTGTAGCACAAGTGAGGTAACCTCTCTTTGGTTTATGATGCAGACTAGAAACAGGCTTAGTAACTTAATAGCTTTTTTTTTTCCCCAGTGAAAATAACTTTTGCATAGCAGAATTAAAATTAACTATTAACAGAGCTGCAGAAATATACACTGAGGGGATGATGTATGCTTGGAGCAACTTGGCTCCATGGCTGCTCTTAATACAAGGTCTATTTTTGAAGCAAGTGATTTATTGTACCAGCTTTATGCTATTCCATAAAGAGCTTTGCAAGCAGCAAGCTCGACTTCATGAAAACTGAGAAACAGTTCTGTTAGAAGTTCAGGGCCATTTGGTCCAACAGTTGCTTCCTTGGTTCAAGCTCAAAGTTAGTGCTCCATAAGATACCATTGTGCAGAAAAAATCTGCAGAGAAGTTGGGTCTGTGGTTTGAAAGCCTGAGAGGAATCATGAAAAAACCAGGAAGTATGTCTGACATCCTACATACAGTGGGATGAAAAATGTTACCAGGTAGTGCTTTAAATACCAGTGCTTCCCAGCTGACACACTCTTGTTCAGCACTGTGTAATATACACTGGTTTGATGGATTTACACATAATAGCATATATTTATGTTCTTCATAACCCCACATATGCAAACTTCTCACTTTCTTGAGGAGCCACCAAAGTACAAACCTCAATTAAGTTTTTTTTTGTGTGCTCCAGCACAATCAGCTGTTGGGTAGAACACCGCTTAGAAAGGTGAATTTAGAGAAAAACTTGACTCTTCAGTTTAAGCTCTGCCATGAAACATATAAGTTATGTAAAAAAGTCCCTCAATGTGAAAGATGGCCTGTAGGAGGAAGCAGCATTTTCCAGCTCCTTTTTTAGCTCATGTTTCCTAGACCACAATCCTTACAATATTCAAATGATAGCAGGTACAGAAGGCAGAATGCAGACTTGTTTATTTTGGGAAGACTTTGCCATCAGTGGCTTCCATTAATGCTGCTCCTGTGTGCAGCAACAAAGTGGTGCCATAGCCTTCTTGAGGTGGAAGAGGGGAGAGAGAGCAGTAGTCCTCCTCTTCTGGCCCATCACACATGGCTGAAGGGCTTGCTGAAGCAGGAAAGAAAGTGCAGTAGTGAGTTCTGCCTTCTCCTGCCTCCCGCAGGAATAGTCTTTGCATGGAAAAGAGATTCTCTGTAATACCAACAGAAAGTCACAGCAATACCCTCGGGACTGTTCTGCTGCTGCTTCTGACACTTGGCTATGCTGCAAGTTCTGTCACAGTAATGTTCCCCAAAAGGTGACCCTGTTTTCAAGTCACCAAGGTGCTTCAGGGTGCTTCACATCCAGAACCTGCCACTGTGTGAATACCAGAAGTGACTGCCTGATGTGAGCCAACAGTTAACTTTATATCCCCACTCTTAGTTAATCTTGCAGAAGCTTAAAAACCTCCTGTATGGGACAGCAAAATTTCCCAGCTGAAAACTGTTCTAGAGTAGATAATAAACCACTGGATAGACAAGCTGCTGATTTCAACCACAGACCACTGTGGCAGCAGTAGTGTGCCAGCCACAGACAGTTCAAATTCCTCTGTTTGAATCCTCTAGCTCATATGCTTTCTTCTTATATTATGACCAATGTACAAAAAATCAGTTCAAAGGTTTATGTACAGATATGCCATTAACTCAAGCATTGTTAAAAAACTAGGGCTGGAGGCTGGACCACAAATTTCACAGTAGCAATGTGTGGCATTAATATGACATATTAATACCCTTATGGTAGATGATTAAGGCAGGAAATGGAGCTTGGTGAATTAACCTCCCCAGCAGAGTGAAACATGCTCATATAAATTGAACTAAATTAATGCAATACATTGGAGTATTTCCAACTCCGTCTTTAATTCAGCAAGCCTTTTTCTTTTTTTAAAAATATAATTATATTGTGGATGAGTAACTAGGACATATGACCCACTCAGCATGGAAGTGTAAAATAGAGTGCCTTGCTGATTATGAGCATTTCATAAACCTAAATGTGACAGTTGATTCTTACAGGCAGCCTAAAGATGCACATAACCATGTTAATACCTCTGTTATACCTCTTTGTAATTTAATTTCTTTCCATCTGGGTGTGGATGTGCAGCAATATCATGCATCTTGAAGCATATTACTTTAAATTGATGCTACCGAAAAAAAACCTCTTTCCAAATGGGTTAGAGCTGTTGTGGGTTTTTATTCTAGAGCCTAAGGTATTCTAGTAGGAGTAAATAAAAATTATTTTCCTTTTCCTTATCATCATTTAAGTCACACATTCTTAACATTAAAACAAACTTTAAAGACAGTCAAACCTCTCTGAATAGGTAGCAATGGAATTTTATTTTTTGCAGTTCATGATAAACTACGGTTTACTATGTGAATCACTCCCTGGAGTCATTATGCAAATTTCAGCAGATATTAAGTAAAAACCTAGGAACACTGCAGCGTTCTACCCCTGATGTAGACATACAACAAAATATTGTGACATCAGGTATTAGACTGATTCCAGCTATTTTAAAAAAAGCTCTAAGAGGTAAAACGCCACAACCCAACAACCAAAAGTTCATGTAGATTGGTAATTTACCAGTCAGCCAAGCTGACTTATTGCAAAGACCTTAGTTTGTACAATCATATTATTGATTCTGCTACTTCAACCATCAGATCTTATTCCCAATAAAGGTGCTGGATTTATGTCTTTATACAACTTGTAAATTTGGCTAAAACAGCATAATGGAATTTAGAAGAGGTTTGACAGGAAAGTACTCAAAATGTCCACATGGTTTTACTGCAGTGACCTAACTCTTGGTTCTTAGTTTAGCAAGATCAATTAAAACAGAAAAAGAGTAGGAAAATACATAAATACATAAAGTCAGGGCATTCAAAATTTTCCACCTTTAAGTTTCAGCACGGAGTCTGAGAATTAATAATTCTGTCCTTCCCTTCATGTTTCCCATTCTGTGGCTTATTTATAAGTGACAAGAGCCTGACTGATCTCATGAGGTTACAACCACTGATTTCAAATGGTCAAACTAGAAAATGAATTCTTATCTTAAGCCTGTCTGTCCTTCATCATTGATAAAATAAGTAAACTGTTTCCAGCTGCTGTCTGCTCTTTAGATATGTAGTCTGAGTGTGCTTACCATCCTACAGATACTTGTGGGCAAATGAAAAGGACTAAGATTATTAATTAAGAACCAAGACCAAACCATGGGCTGGTAATTGGGACAAAATGAATCAGGACACAATTCGGTCTGCTTTTATATTAAAAACTTCTCATACAAATACTCCCACATTAAGCATAATCTTAACTCAGACTTGATTGATTAAGCAAAAGAACATCTTGGTTCCCACCGCAAATTAAAGTTCAGAATATCACAGAGGAAACTAAAGGAAACTTATAAAATGAAAAGGATCCATATATTCAACATTAACTTTATAATCATCTGATCATTTAAATAGTTAAATTTTTAAACATCACTATTTGCTATATAATGCTACAGTATTTAATAGAAAGTGCCAATGTATCATGTCTCCTATAATCCATGCCTATGAAGCATGTGAACTCTTATAAAGAACACAAATGAACTTTGTACTTCACTAATTGGAAATATGAGTCTACTCAACACTTGTGGAGATTCACTGAGTCATGGCCAAAGCCAGCTAAAGGTATTGCTTGTGAATCATCACGAAGGAGAGGTGTGATGAACAATATTGGTGCAAAAAGTTAGCAGAAAAGAAAAATAATTATAAAAAAGAGGGAAAAATGGCCAGCAAAAGGGAGCACAAGCAAATACATAAACCATCCTCATTTTGAATAAGCTAACAAATGGAAAAAAAAACTATGTAAAGAGTGTTGCTGTACCTGTATTTTGGTGTGATATCAAAGGTAGGCAACTTCTATTTTAGGTAGAAGCACGCCCGGTAAGAGAGAAACCTGGCTACATTTACTGGGTATGTAATTTCAGTAAATTCAGTAAAAACTCTGGATGAGTTAATCAGATAAGATTTCCACAAACATGCATTGGAAAAGCAGAGTTATTAAAGATCAGTGGATTTTGCCATAGTCCAAAGGATCTGTGTGAAACACATGTACTGCATGTAAACTGGGGATAGGGCAAATACAGCAAAACACTCCATTATAAAGAATAATAAAACAGTAGCCAGCACTAAATAAATATTTTGCATTCTTCACATCTCAATAAAAATTCCACCACTCTTTTCTGTACTTTTTGAGCTATGCATATAATTACATATAGTGACTACTATAAATCATGGTTGTCAGGAATTAAAAGCCATCCAATATCATATACAGAGCATTAG